TCAAAAGCATGAAGACTTGTATAGGACAGTGTTTTAGGCCTAAAAAAACAACTAATAAAATGCCAGAACAAAGACCATTTTGTTGGAAGATCCAGTCAATTATATATTTGTCCAGTCAGCCACTACAGCAAAAGAAGCCTCTAACTAGAGCCTTTGAAGTTACAGGATTGACCCGTATAGTCCGACTTTTGCACACTGTTTACTACAAATGCTAAGTTCTCTAATGTACTCTGCCACGTTTATATTACACTCTGCCACGTTTATATTACACTCGTCAAGAGACAAGCGTTAACTCTATTACGTTCCAATAGGCCGGAGCAGAGTACATGGAGTAAATGATCCTGCACCACCTCCGCGAGAGGTGTCTCAATACCCGTTCGTTGTTTTGCGATTTATCAATATTTTTTATTTTCCTCCATGTGAATTCTATTTTGCATTCCAATTTGGAATAATTATGGAAATATCTTTGCAATGCAGCTGTTATGCAATAAAATGGTATATTATAAGGAAAACAATAAAATATTGCTCATTTAAGGAAATATTTTTCTATGAAAGAGAAAATCAAAAATTGCTGGTTTCAGATGAAACTTAAATTCAAACTGATCATCGTATTCATATTGGGTAATGTATTTTTGACAAAATTATATAGTATATTACATTACGAGTGTGGAAAATCACTTTTCACACAAGTGATGTACAATATTTTTCCTACGACCACAAAATAATTTCATCAAAAAATGTAAAACCAATGTTATTATTACTATAATAATTAAAATGTATTTAAAAAAATAATCAACAATAATCGTATTTATTTAATTTTCATATTTTCTAAACAAAAAAAAACTAAAAAAAAAAAACAAAAAAAATAAAAAAAAAACAAAAAAAAATTCTGCCCCGCCAGGATCTGAACGCGGTCTCAAATGGCAAAGTTGATAAGTTCGATGTTCTAACCACCTGAGCTAATAGCCCTTGTGTCAATTGAATGATCTAATCCAGGGATGGCAAAGTTACGGCCCGCGGGCCATGACCGGCCGCATATTCGGATGTAACAGGCAAGATGTCCATTCGGCTATGTCGAACCTTTCTTCATATGTGACGTGCACGATAGCATTTAGTCGGACGTTGTGACTGTTACATACAATCAACAAATAAGTTAAGTATCAGTTAAATTCAATCGAATTATAAAAATCAATTATGGCATTAGGACATTTTTTAAACATTTCCCGATATGAATTGTTAGGGTACATTGTCTTAGATTGTAAAATTTTATTCAATCAAGTAAATTTTAATAGTTTTATTAACAAAAAAATATTAAATTTTAGCAGGAAGTACTTAAAAAGTTTCATAGTGTCGAAATTGTTTTTTTCTATTCGATTTAATTTAACTGATATTTCAGATTTTGGATACGAAGTGCGATAATACGAAGAAAACGAAATACCAAATTTAATAATAATGCTTTATTTATATGAGATATGAATATAAGGAATACTTATAAGTGAGCACAAGCGATTTACTTTTTGGCTTTGTTGGATCCCAAACCACGATTGTTCTCTACACATAAATTGAGTGAATGTGGAGCTCTTACACTGCTTTTCTTGCTGCTAAAAGAAGGTCTTCCTACGACTTTTCTTTTGCCACACATTTTAATTTTTCGCCTGGAAACGGCTGTTGGCTGAACGCTAATTTTTACTCCTCTTCTTACAATTTTAGGATGAATGTTGCCTGATTGTATTTTGATTGCTCCTTTGTACTTATATGATGTGTACAGACCTGATAATAAAGATGGTACAGAAATAGCATATTTTTTGAAATTATCCAAATGTCGATTGACAGCTGGTAAGAATTGTTTCGGATAATTTTTAAGATGCTGCAAAATTGTATTACTGTATTCCAACCATGCAGTCTTTGTTGCTTCAATATCCGAGGCCAAGTTTTTTACCACTTTAATTTCTTGCAGTGGCTCTGGTTCTATCGTAGAAGGATCCACTTCATTGGGACTAATTAATTCTGGTGTAAAACAGGTCTCTATAGTTCCAGGTGACTGTAGTGGACAAAATAATGTCTTTTTCGGTTCTTTGCCGGTAGCAATTTGATAAAACAATATTTTATTTTCGAGGGTTAGAGTATTTATTGTCTTTAAAATGCGAAATTTTGAAATTACTGCAGCCTGATGTTTGCAGTGTTTCTCGTTATATCCAACTGGACAACTACACATGCATGTTATCATATCTATGTGATAAATGATATCAGGCTTAGAAAAACTTATAACTTCATATTGATGATTTCCTATGTCTTTTAGGTTCGCATTTTCCGCTGTTTTGGCAGATATCTCTCTTGAATTGCTTTACTTTCACGTTTTAAGACAATATCAAGAATTCGTTGTTGATATCTTTCAAATCCAGTACATATGAAATCAGCTAATTGGGTAAGATTAAATGCCTTTGTACGTTCTAAAGGTATATCCTTCAGTAATCGGAACATTACCTCCGTATAATTATTTGTGTCTGAACCGCGCAATAACAAATTACGTCTATAAAACAAACACCAAGTCTCAGTTCGCAAATACATGTTCTCTACATATTTAAGAAAGTTAAGATGTTGACATTGTTCATTTAATAATTTCTTTGCTGCATCAAGCTTATCTTTCGAGTCTGAATATAAAATATTTCGAAATAACTGGTAATAACGTTGATTGTGCGTTTTCGGAACTCCATTTTTTGCAGTAGTAAGCCAACGCCAACATGCTTTTAAGACATGAAATGTACATAAGAGCATTTTCGAACGTGGCAAACATTGCTGTAGGACGTATCTTTCCCCTAAGTCGTCATCTGTCATTATGACAGATGGTTGTATTTTAACGGGAGATATATATAGCAGAGCTTGTACCACTTCTTGAAATATTTCTTATTTTTTTGATTACTACTTATAATACACCCAATCGGTAAACCTCCAACAGGAGACTGTGTGACAAAAAAATAAACTTTGTGATCCTGAACATCGTAATTTCCTGTTGCGTCTACAAATATGATTTCCGACGCTTGAGGTAATTTTAAAGCTCTTTGCATTATGGGGGTACTTATTGCAATGGAATGATTTTCGCCGAGAGTACATACTTTGAACAATGTCCCATTTTTTTCATTTTCCGACAGTAACACATCTTCCAACTTCTTTAACATTTCTGGACCATTGCGCTCGCCATATTGCTGTCTGAAGTTACTAGTCCAGAGTGTTCGAACATCGGTTTTTGTCGGGAAATAATGACGATCGCTTATTTTATCGCTATACTCATCACCCAATTCTTCCAATTTCGTGGTGCAATACGTGTGATAAGCGGATGCTACAGAATGCCCTCTTTGAAATAACTCAAGTATAGCCTTTTTTGTATCTTCTCCCAAAGGTCTGGTACGTAGAGCTTCTCCCACATCGAATCTATGATTGTGATTGTTCCGAAATTCTAATAAACAAGGATATTCTGTGTCGACTTTATTCAATGAATTGTTGGCTTTAGACTTGGAATGATTTTCTTTAAAGTTAAAATTAATTTTGCTGGATGTTTCTTAAGCTTCTTTTCTTTAAATCCTTGGTATTTTTTCTTCGTCTTTTATTGAAGTGAGAATAATAAATTCGCTTAAACAGATTGTTTCATGCGTTTTCCTTTTGAATTGTCTTTTCTATTGACCATGTTACTTTACTGATAGTTTGTAATTCTTCTACAAGTTTCTTCTATGTGTACTATTTTTAACCATTGTTGACTTCTCAAGTAAAAACTGTACTGCATTTTTATTAATCTAAATTAATATCACCATCTTTTAGGTTTAATCAACACTGAACTACTTATTGCATTTTAATTAATATTCTACGCCACTGTACTATGTGCCCCCTGTAATATTATGTGGTATCCTCTGTATTGTTGCAAATATTTTAAACAGTATACGGTAACTTAAATATTAATAGGCACGTTACTCCAAAAAGATGCGCTTTTATTTGTAATTTCATTAAGTAAGCCACTGCATTTCGCATTTTTGAAAAAAATAATAAGTTAAGTTTTTTTTATAAACAACTTACTGTTTATTATCGACTCAAACTTTCCTTATATCAAAATATCATTATTTTTTTAAATAATTTTTTACTTATTTATATACCATTTTTTAACATGAACCCCCCCTAGCGCGCCTCTGAATTGAAAGAATTAATGCATGTTTTATAACCTCACATAGTAAACTAATGACTTACGCGCCAAAACAATAGTGGTTAAGATGTTACAGCAAAAATGCTTGATATGTAACAGTCTAGCTATCCGATTGAGTGCTGTCGTGCACGTCACATATGAAGCGATATTCGGCATAAGTCGACTGGATATCTCAACCGTTACATCTGAATATGCTGACCGGCCCCCAAGACATTCGGATACGGCCGCGACTGCCATGGTCGTTCATTGTGGCGTCGTCATGGCAACGCGCCGAACGGAGACGGTCAACGACGAATACGAACTAACTCGTTACCGCGCAACTCTCACTCTCAGACTAGTTCAAGTCTCAGTTCAGTTCGCAGCATTCTCAGTATACAGACGGACGTTGATCATTGATTGTCATTGTGGTTTGTAATTTTTTAAATACGCGTTGCATTCGTTGCAATGTCTTCTAATAAAAGACGAAAGGTTGATAGTGAGTGTCCGGTTTTTCAAACAAAGTGGGAACTTTTTTTATTGAATGGAAGGGCAAACCACTTTGCTTGATTTGTAATCAAACAATTTCTGTATGCAAGGAGTTCAATTTTAAGAGATACTATGAAACCAATCATAAAGAGAAGTTTGACACGTTCTCCAACGAGATAAGGCTAGAAAAACTAGAATCTTTAAAAAGTAAACTTAAGGGGCAGCAATCGTTCTTTACGAAGGCCAAAGCCAATAGTGAGAATGCTATAAGAGCTAGTTATGTAATCGCACAAAAATTTCAAAGAAATCAAAACCTTTTAATGACGGCGAATTTGTAAAAGAATGTATGTTAGATGTGGCTGATATTTCATTCGCACCTCAGAAACAAGTTATCCAAGATATACCCTTATCAAGAAATACCATTGCTGCCAGAGTAAATGAGTTGGAAGATAATTTGAATAACCATCTTAAAGACAAAATTAAAGAATTTATTTTTTATTCCATTGCTGCGGATGAAAGTACTGATATTAAAGATACAGCACAGCTTGTTGTGTTTATTCGTGGAATCAATAAAGATTTTATCATTACCAAAGAACTATTAAAATGTCTACCTTTGAAGGATACTACTACGGCTCAAGATATTTACCAGGCGATTGAGCAATTAATTTCAATTAATGAACCCGATTGGGGAAAATTATGTAGTATTACGACTGACGGTGCACCAGCCATGGTTGGAAAAAATACCAGTGTTGTTACGAAATTACCTAAGAAAATTTCAGATGAAGCTACACCTCAACACAAGTTAATTGGAATTCACTGTATCATTCATCAAGAGTCCTTAGCATCTAAAATACTTAAAATGGATCATGTATTGTCATGAAGCCAATAATTAAAATTATAAATTTTGTTCGAAGTAGAGGCCTAAATTACGGCCAATTCGCACAATTTTTAAAAGATCTCGATGAAACACATTCAGATATTCCATACTTCACAGAAGTTCGTTGGCTTAGTCGCGGTGCAATGCTAAAGCGATTTTTCGAATTGCGCCAACATATTGTTACTTTTATGGCTCAAAAGAGAAAACCAATTAATCATAACGACGAATGGTGGCTTGATTGCGCTTTCTTGGTAGATATGACGGAACATTTTAACAACTTAAATGTTAAACTTCAAGGCAAAAACAAAATTGTCACGCACATGTACTCAAATATACAGGCCTTTGAGATGAAGTTAAAGTTGTTGGAGTCTCAGTTGCGAGAGCAAGTACTTCACCACTTTCCTAGCATTCGAGCATGCGCTACCCATAATGCAGAAAAACTAGCGGAATTTTCTAATCTTCTGCTTGACCTTATACCGGAGTTTGAAAGTCGTTTCGTAGATTTTCGCGCACTGAGTTCCTATGAATTTCCTCTATTTAATAATCCATTCACCTTTGAAGTTGACAAGGTGCTAACATTCATGCAAATGGAACTAATAGGTTTACGATGTGACGCTGTTTTAAAAGACAAGTTCAACGAAATTGATATTTTGTCATTCTACTCAAAATATTTTAAAAGTAATGACAACTATCCCAACATGAAGAGACATACTGCTCGTATTTTATGTATGTTTGGAAGTTCATATATATGTGAACAGATGTTTTCAACAATGAAAATTAACAAATCTCAACACCGTTCCAGACTGACAGATGAACATCTACAAGCGATTCTTAAAATCAGTACATCTAATTTGACACCAAACATCGACGATGTCAAGTATCTGGCTCATCAAAATAGTTACTATACCTAATAGTTATGTAAAGGTATCATATTTATAACTTTTTAAAGATTTTCTTATATAAAGTTTTGCTTTTTTATGAAAGAATTTTTTTTAAAACCGGCCCTCCAAGCATTCCTTGAAAAAAAAAATGGCCCTCAGGCAAATTGAGTTTGACACCCCTGATCTAATCGGTTATGTATTTAACCAGAATAAAGAACAAACATTATTTTAAAATTATTTTAATAATTGTTAAAGATAAATATTTAGGATCTATTTTACAAGAATTTCAATAATTTAACAATCATATTGATTTTAGTATTAATATGGACATTATATAGATCAAAATAGAAATTAGGTGTTTGACATTTTGTGACAACTACTGCGAAAAGTAACATATTCGTACACGGGTGGAAAGCAAATTGTGGAAAGCAAATTCTTATTTATACGCGTGTGATATAGGGCACTTTACATAGGACTATGTAGTGTGATATGTGTCACTTTCCTAAGTGGTCGTAGGAAAAATGTTTTCCCTCATCATTATCAAAATCATATTGTACTGCAAATTTTACAATCCACATTAATTTATTTTAACTGTAAAAATAAAAATAGGATGATTATTATTTTATATGAGGTTATGTTTATTATTATTTCCAAACTTTTAAACAGAAGTATCGGCCAAATTAATACGATTAACTCTTTTGACTTTGATGCCACGTGACCAAAATTTACTGCTGCGTTAACTCTACTCCGAGTTTTTCGACCGAACTCTGCAAAAGTTTAAAGATCAAAAGTCTGTTCCATCAACGATTAAAAACCAGTCACTGACACCAGGATTCTGCGCAGTAGATAATTTGGCGGTCCCAATAATCTACTGCGCAAAATCATCGTGAGAGAGAGAGAGAAAGAGAGAAAGAATATTATATGTTTATTGTCCAAGTTAAAATATTTTTTGACAAACACAATATTGTTATACGAAGCACAAATAAATAAATTATTATAAGTTATTATTATAAATTAACATTAATGTATACATCTAAAATAAAATAGAACAAAACAAAATAAAACACGTATCACAGTATCTCGTCATTATAAAATTCTTTAATATTATAATAAGGCCTAGTTAACAGAAATATCCTGAGCAGCTTTCTAAAACAATTCTGTGACAACATCTGTCATAGTATGTGATATCCTGTTGTACATCTTAATACCATTATATATAAAAGAGTTTCTTATAAGTTCAGTTTTGGGAATAGGTAACTTCAAGTTACCCGTTTGGCGAGTTACACGGGATATATTCGATTTATATTTCGACTTGTTCTTATGGATCATGGAACAAGTTTCTAAGATAAATAATGAAGGTAATGTTAATATTTCTTGTTTTAAGAACAGCGGTCTACATGAAACTAATGTGTGTGCTCCACATAAGAACCGTATTGCCAGTTTCTGCATTATAAAGACTCTACCAAATAACTCGGCAGAACAGACTCCCCAAAACTGAACAGCATAACGTAAATGGGAGTCAACTAACGCATAATATGCAGTTTTTGCTGCACAAACTCCTAATTCATGAGAGGTAGTTCTAATGGCATAACAACCCGATGCGAGTTTTTTAAAAGTGGATCCACATGAGATTTGAATTTCAAATCTGTGTCGATATTTAAACCCAAAAATGTTGTAGAGTCTGTGGCTTCTACAGTATCCATATCTATCAAAGGAATATTATATTTAAAGGTTAATATTTTTAAATTTAATGACAGAAAGTTTGCAGTTTTAAAGGATATGAGGTCATTACTAATATTTGCATAAATAATATTGACGTCTTTATAATGCCACAAGATAGTAGTATCGTCAGCAAATAGAGTAAAACTTCCTGAGATATTTAACTTACCTAAATCATTTATTTAAAAATAAAAACAGGGTGGGTCCAAGAACAGAACCTTGAGGAACACCCCATTTTATGTCACTTGTTTTCGAGTCTGATCAGTTCGAACTAACTGTTTGCGACCTAAAAGGTAGGATTTCATCCAACTCAAGGCCACATCTCTTATGCCATAAACTTCAAGCTTTTGCAGCAGGACTTCGTGGTTAACACAGTCAAAAGCTTTAGTCAGATCGCAATATACTGCAGCTACGGCCTCGTTGAAATTTATACTTGTATAGGCTAATTCCAGACAAGAAGAAACAGCATCCGATACGTTTCTGTTGTGTTGAAAACCGAATTGATTTACCTCCAGTATATTATTTTGGTCTAGATATCTAACTAGTCGAGTTTTTACAAGTTTCTCAATAATTTTTCCCAGTGTCAGAATTAGAGATACGGGCCTAAAATTAGAAGGCTCAGTCAAGTCTCCTCCCTTATATAGTGGAGAAAAGGAGAAAAAGTGCCTTCATTAAAACTTTTGTTTATTACAAGTATTTCAAATTAAAAATTTAAAAAACCGACTTCAAAAACGTGCAGATGCCACATCTTAACCAAATTTATATGGGACCACCCCTGAGGTACCCCCTTACTAACAAAAAAAGAATCGTATAAATCGGATAAGGTAAAGCATTATCGCTAAACATACATAAAAAATGAAGAGTTTGAGGATTTTCTCGTGGATCCAATTATTATATTTTGACAAAATTTATATGAGACCACCCCTACAGTAGCCCCTTTCTAACAAAAAAAGAATTATTGAAATCGGACACCGTGTTAAAAAATTATCGCTGATCATACATAAAAAATGAAGAGTTTGAGGATTTTCTCATGGACCCAATTATTAGATTTTGACTAAATCTATATGGGACCACCCCTGAAATACCCCCTTTCTAACAAAAAAAGAATCATTGAAATCGGACACCGTGTTAAAGAATAATCGCTGAACATACATAAAAAAAAAATATCGCGACGAACTGATAACCTCCTCCTTTTTTGAAGTCGGTTAATAATCGCTGAACATACATACATAAAAAAAAAAAAAATATCGCGACGAACTGATAACCTCCTCCTTTTTCGAAGTCGGTTAAAAATGGATAAAATGTCTAATGCACAGGTAGGTAAGTTTTCAAATATTTTTACTGACATTCCATCATATCTTCATGCAGTTTTGTTGTGTATGTCATAACAATCTTTTAATATTTCTAAGGAATTTGTTTCTATTAAGAAAAATGAGTATTTAATTGGTGACGATTTTACAAATTCTAATTTTTATTTAGATTTTTTTGTTAGATTTTCTGTTATATTGCAATAAATTTATTGAAATCGTTAGGATTTATATTTGCATTGTATGATTTATGGGTACTTTTGCCTCTCAATAGACCAAGTTTCCCTTGCCATATCTTTAGCGTCAGTGACTGGTTTCTAATCGTTGTTGAAACAGACCTTAACTCCATTGATGGCTTTGTTATTATAAACACAGCTCTTAATTGTCCTAGAAGTGATAATAAAATAAACTAGCTTAAAATAATTAAAGGTTTGACAGTGACACAAATTTGTTGCAATATCATGAAATCTTTCCAGTGTTTTGGGCTATATTGTTAGGACTTTGAGGGCCCTCAAACCATTCAGTATCTATGAAATTTATTAGTCGTTAACTTCTTCTCTGTAAGAACGGTTCAGAATGTGTTGCAAAATTCCATATGGCACAAAGTTGTTTTAATCTTTTAATTTTCCCATTCAAAATATGGGACAAGGAGTTATGAAGCTACCATCTAAGTCTTTTATTGAAATATATTTACATCATAACTTCTTATAAAATACTGAAAAATTAAAATTTTAGTTTTCCTCAAATTTTTCCACTACGGTCCATTTTAAAAGAATCCTATATTAAATCAAAATTATGAGTGATATCGCAAATAACTTTTATTTAAATAGTTTTATTAAAAATTAGAATTTTGCACTTTTTGTCAAATTTCTGGAATACGGACCATTTTTGGAAAATTTTGTAGACAATAACAATTCTAGAGAATAACATAATCAAATTTTACGACCTTCTATAAAGTACCCCCTCCCCCAGTTGTTGCGACTATGTCCAAAATATTATCATTTCACCACAGGACGGATTAATGCTTAAATTTAAAACTTGGTGTTGTTCTCCTAATCCATTTTTTATTTATCTTCAAAATTCAAAATTTGTACGTTTTATCAAATATCTCGAATACGGTTTATTTAAGAGAAATTATAACAAAACTTTTATTTGCACAATTTTCTTAAAAATTTAAATTTTATAATTTTTGTCAATTTTCTGGAATATGGACCATTTTAGGAAAATTTTGTATAAAACAAAAATTTAAAAAAATAATATTACAAGCAACTTTTATTAAAAGAATTTTCTTCTCCAAGCGTACATAACAGATATTTTCCATAAAGTAAAAAAACGATTTACCCCAGATGTTCCGAATATACCCAAAATTGAATCACTTTACGGCAGGATGGATTTACCTTAAATTTTAAATTTGGTGTTTTTCCGTTTATCTGTTTTTGAGTTATCTTCAAAATTCTAAATTTGTCCGTTTTTCAAATATATCCAATACGGTTCATTTAGAGAACTTATGTATGGGACAATAATTATAGAGAATGATGTATGAAATAATTTTTATTAAAAAAATTCTTAAAATTTTTGTTTTTTTACGTTTTGTTAAATTTCTCAAATACGGTCCATTTTAGAAAAACAATGTTTGAAGCAACTTTTATCTGAAGACTTTTCTTCTACAAGCGTAAATAACAGATCTATTCCATAAAATAAAAGAACGACCCCCTATAAAGTAACCCCCAGATGTTCCGACCATGCCCAAAATCTCATTAGTTTTCCAGAGTATAGAATTAAACATAATTCTAAAATTTGAAATTTTTCTCTGTATCCTTTCATGAGTTATCGAGTATGCACAACACACACACACACACACACACACACACACACACACACACACACACACACACACACACACACACACACACACACACACACACACACACACACACACACACACACACACACACACACACACACACACACACACACACACACACACACACACACACACACACACACACACACACACACACACACACACACACACACACACACACACACACACACACACACACACACACACACACACACACACACACACACACACACACACACACACACACACACACACACACACACACACACACACACACACACACACACACACACACACACACACACACACACACACACACACACACACACACACACACACACACATACATACACACACACACACACGACATTATCGCGAAAATAATTAAAATGGATTCAGAGTACCTCAAAACGTAAAAATCCGTCGAATGCTCGAGGTCGAAAAAATATAATTCCTATACTAAAGTTTAATTTGACCCACGACTTATATAAGTTGTACATATTATGCCTTAGGAAGAAAAAATACTGAGGCAAATATATGGTGGGACCACATTAGATTAACTACAGAAAAGAAGAACCGATTAAGAAAACCAAATTGTACGAACTAAAGTGATATTTTTTCAGGTGTACATAAAACATCATCGGCTCCAAAGAGTTATTGTCCAGAAAACGAAAAATTGCGTCCGAGAAAAGACACAGTCAAAGAAGAAAGACAAAAGGTGTTCGAACCCGAACCCGAACCCGAAAAGCAACCAGCACCGGAGAAAGAGATAAATATGTTTTTGGAAGACGGCACCGTAAAACCACCGGTCTACACAAAAAGCTTCGAAGGTCAGGACAAAATCATGATTTTTACTACCAAAGATAGTGATTATATACCGAAAAAATTGGAGAAAAATCTACCGGCTCCTACGGATAACGCCGAATTGGAGTAAAATACGCTTCTGCTTCAAAGCAACATACAACATCTTTAGTGTTTTATTAAAAATATGTTTCATGCAAGGTGGCCCAGAACATCAAAGGATATTTAATATTGTAAATCTTTTTTAATCCACATTTTCTTTTTTTCTACTGAAAGATTAGAGCTTCATATGTAATACTTTCTACTGTCTTCTGCAACGTCTGTCAATCGTGGTATATCTCGAATTTCATCTATAAACTGAACTATTTTATCTTTTACATAACCAGATTCTATGTAAATGTGTTGATATTCATTAGGAATAAACATTAGGTTTAATCTGCGACTTGGTTTTAGTAAAACCACATTTCTGTATAGACCAATGATCCCATTAGCTGCTTCTCCACACTATACTTTGCGTTTAAATAAACATAATTTTACCATTGTGTTTTATAAATTGACAGAAATGAATAGTTGGCTCTGTAATGTATTATTAAGGAATATTTACCAAAAAAAGAAAAAAGATTTTTTTTAAGTATCCATGAACTTTTTGCGAACTTTGTATTTTTGTATTAGGTTGCGCAACCTTGTAAAGCTTTCTCCCATCTTTGCGAATTTGTATTGCATTAAATTATGCTGTATGTTGCTTTGGTGTAGACTTAAGAATAGCTGAGCTATTTTGTAAGGAAACTGTGAATATCAGTTACATTCTATATTTTCTTAAAATAATGCATAATTGATGGGTTGTCCATAAATTGCAATCTCAATATTGAAATTGTCCAAACTTTCCTTACAAAATTAAAACAAGCTTACATAAGAACTTTTGTATTAAACATTTGTTTCTAAAATCAATAGTAGCATGACTTTTTTAGCATCCTGTATACAAAATTAGGTGTATATTAAAGACTTTTGATTGGATCCTAATTCAAATTTGTAAAAGTAGACTAGACCTTTTTTCTTGAAAATATCTTAATTGTAAATTTTTAAAATGAATGTGTCAAATAACAAAAAAAAAACTTTCAAAAACTATGTTACAAACTGTAATAGAGACAAATCAAGGTAACGATAATTCCAAATATTCATACATTTTTTCAAAAACAATATTATAAAACTATCTATTTGCTCACAGGTTGCTCATCTAAAATATTCAGGACATTTAAAAGTGCTTCTTCTACAACTCTGTCATGCATTATTTCTTTTCGTACATGTATTCAGGATAACTCAAAATTCTTTAGTAACACTCGAGAAATAGGACTTGAAATGAAGGCATTTTTATTCTCTTCAAAATAGATAATGTTTTTAACTCCAGCATTATTTCAGATAAAGGGAAAAAGATCAATCTCAATAATTTGTGGAAGGATATGAAGGATACTTTAATATTGCTAAAATATGACATCGAGAGTATTAAAATAAAAAGAGGCGAATAAGTTTGTGTGATTTATCCTACATGTCAATAATAAAATGTCCTTGGTATGGAGTCGTAGACGAATCACATATTAAATATCCTGTTCAGTCTATTTTTGATGTACGAGTCTGAAACGAATAAAAATTCTATAATATTCACAATGGTTTTATTTATTGGTGGGTAATATTAAAATATTAACCAGATAACCTTCATGTACCGTGTTACAAACTGATTGCAAACTAACGCTTTTTGTCTAGGGATATTCCATACTGTTTATACCTGTAAATTTTATTAGTGCTATAACTACACTTTATTTTGATATTTAGTTTTTTTTTAGAGAAATTGAGCTGTGTTTGTATTTAAGACTGGATTTACATATTGATACAAATAAAGGCCACGCCTTTTTCCACTCAGGGTTAAACCGGCCACCAAATGCTGATCTTCAGACAGCCCAAGTCAATCCATTGAATGTCCATCGGAAGTCCATTGATGGATATATTAGCTGTGCAAAGGACGTTCAGCATTGTACCGAAGGACATCCAATGGCCATCCATTGAACTATACAAATGAAGTTCATGGACCTCCAGGACATTATGTGAACAAAATATGGACGTCCAACGGACGTCGTGTGCTGTCTGGGAGTGTGTTACCTTTGATTGTCATAAATTGTTTTAGTTGCCTTTTTAGTTTAATTTAGTGGTAACAAGTGGACTGTGTTCTACGGGAAAATTAAAAGGTACCTAAAACGTAAGGTCTATGAAACCTCTTGTTGAAAAAAATTGCAATTTGAAAATGTTAATAGTATTGTTATGCAGATTTTTGTTATCTTAATTTATTTTAACTCAACTTTTACAATAACAATAAAACTGATAACATTAGCGTATACCGTCTTTCATAAAACTGATTCTCTGACGTCAGCTTTAACCTTCTAAAACTGTCTAAAAGTTAAGTTAATATTTAATGAAACCCCTTAAGCTTAGGCTTAAGGGTGTACACAAGCGGGACTCCGTCTACCCCTTTTGTACTGGGGATAGGGGGAGTAGCGGTATTTCACCTTCCCCAAAAGTAACACTTTCCACATGGTGCCTTAAGCACACATGTGGAACTTTAAAATGGATCTCTTTCGAAACCACCTTCATCAGATGGAGGCGAAATTCAAAATTGAACAGGATCCAACCTCGAATGAGGGAGGCAGTGTGTGCCATTTTTTACAATTTTATACAATTTTTACAATTTACTTAAATTTTTAATTCAACATACTTATTTTTCTGTGGACACATAGTGGTAAGACACCTAGCATTTCTATAAAAAACGTTTTGTTATACCTTAAATTATTATTGCAGATTGTACCTACTCACTTACAAAAAATGTTTTGCCTGATGATGACCTTTTAGGTCGAAAGCTCTTGCAACCTAATAAATTTATGTGGTCGACAGACTTTAAGCTTTTTACTTCCCTTTAATCTACTTCGGACCACTTTGAGATATGGATAATATTTGGAATTTATGTCTAAACTTTTCCTTGACGTGGAATGACATTTCTCGAATATTCCCCTTTCTTCTTTTACTCGAACCTTTACTTATGACGATCACAGCACGCTGCAGGGTGCTGCGTAACATTGCTCCCTCCTCTCTAGTTATTCACCCCGAACAACTTGATTACTGAGACCTGGTTGAAACTAACGGGGAGGATCTAGACCATGGCAAGGGTTAACTTTCCAATATGAACTACCTTGGATTTACTTCCCGCTGCCAGCTGAATGCGGCAGATCAGGTCGTTGATTTTCCATAAGTAAGGTGTAGGGGCCTTTGTAGTTGCTTGAAACTGTACAGCCTTACTGGGTCGCCTTTCTCAAAATGTGTCCCTGTAGGACGCCTGTCAATTCTAGCTTCTGCTTTATCGCTGGTGGCTTTCAATCGTTCCCGAGCGAATCCGTAGACCTTTGTCCTGCCATTGCATATATCACATTTTTTACACCAATCCACTACATCTTGTTGGCAATTGACCCAATAAAATCTTTCCCGAATCCGTGCCAGTATCCTTTTAGTACCAAAATGTCCTCCCGAACGGGAGGATACACTTTGCGGGATACATGTACTCCATCAAAGCTCTCCCATTTCCGGTGCAATAAACCATCGTGAAAATACAGGGAATCCCACTGAGTCCAGTACCCTTTAATAGCTCCACTGTATTTGGCTATCTCTTGCCAAGTATGTGTGACTTTATTTTTGAGCCATTCTCGGATAACCTTTAAGTCATTGTCTTTCTTCTGTCCCTCTCAGGTTTTCAAGGGTAATTTCCTCTTCGTCGCCCTCTGGTTTGATAGTGGTTGCCCGAAGAGTAATTTTATCAACCGGTTCCTGCCGTTTTCCGAGCCCCTTACTGTGCCGGAATTCTGGTTCTAAACAGGGTCGCCTGGAAAGAATGTCTGCGTTGCTATGGAGATGGCCTCTACGATGCTCTACTTCCTGATTATTGCTAGAAAGCCGGCTCGGTGTTGGTAATTGGCTTCTTCGGAACGCATAACTGCTGCGACTATTTCTTGTTGGACGTTGTGACGGGCTTTGGAAGATTGATCTAAGTGACTTTTCGGCCTTATTCCCTGATTCTCGATTTATAAAACGAGCCCTGCTTCTACAGTTTCTTTGAAGGTGCTCGATTCTTCCACAACTAAAGCATCTTCTGCTTCCATTTTGGCTGTTTCGCTGCATATTTTGCAGAATATTTAGGATTTTCGAGAGGATAGAAGGGGGGATAGCATTAATATTGGTCTCCTCACTTTCCTTAAATTTAATTTCTCTCATTTTTGCGCAAGAAGATCTGGATATGAGTTTTACCGCTTCATATTCCAGGACTGCAATTAGTTTCTCTCTTAGCGTCTTATGATGTTGTAGACAAATGGCTTGCTGCATTTCCACATCTTGTAGTTCATCAATGAATGCCTGTATGCCGATTTGTTTTTGGAAATCTTTGAACGCCTGTTGATAGGCCAGATAAATCAATCGTTTTATATCGGTCTCGAACTCCTGTAGACTCTCATTATGTTTCTGACTGCGAACCTTTAGCTGGCTTTGGAATACCCGTTTCAAATGCTGCTGGCCATATCTTGTCTTAGATGAGAGATGAATAACTGGGTTCCCCTTGGGGAAGTAACTGTAAAACGGTTGCTGCGACTTCAAATTAAAGTCGATACATTTTCCATGTCTTATGGCCGTCAAACGTGTGCGGTTTAAGGGTTTTGTGTAACTGGGGTTTAAATGTGCTTTGGTTCGACTATGCATGAAGATGAGGTAGTGTTTTCAGCTCCAATGTTGCTTACCAAAGCTTGGGTATGAACTATTTTTTTTGTGTCATCGGCATCGACTGCTAAGGTCATTAGCCTCGTGTTATATGTAGGCTTTGTAACTGTTTCCCAGCGCCACTTTAGGAACAGCACTGTTAATTAGAACCCAACAGTGAATGGTCGAGTGGGGAATCCAAAGCTCCTTTATTTACCTTTAAAACTCGGTCATACATTGCAAAGAAACGTAGCGCGTAGCTATTTCGTAAATGAACCGACATGCGTTGCCAGGTGCGCTGTTGCCAGGCTATGTAGTTTACCTCTTTCATATTTATAAATAGTTTTTACCTATAACTCACTAATAGCAACAAGTTTTATTAATTAGAATAGTTTCGAAATATGTTGCGACACATCAAGCGTCCCCTTTATATTCGACGCCCAGACAGAGAACGCGCTACGTGTGACTAAGATAGCTATTGTACAGTCTGCTAAACAAGTTATTTTAAATAGTTTTTAATATTTTTAGGTAATTAAATTTTAAAAGTGTGGAATAGTTTAGGGATTAAATTGGTCTGATTGGACTTTCTTAGAACGTTTTTAAAAGCAGCTAAAGATAGTATGTAGAATTGAAAATAATTATTATGCCATAAAAGGTGTTTTGGAATTCCTTCAACCTTTTGAAATTGAGTCAGAAAATATAAATTTTATAGGATAGCGGAAAATACCTATAATTTTTTTGTAGGCCTTTGTAAATCGTGGAAATAGTTTATATTTTATTTCTACCTTATTAAGGAAAATGGTACCTATTATTAATAACGGTTGTTTCTGAAACATTACTAAAATTTTCGAAATTTTGTTTTTCTACAAAATAATAAACTATACTATTTAGAAAAAAATTTATTTCTCTTATAATTTTATAAAAAATAACAGGGGAATATTTACATTTCTTGATCTATTAAACAAAACGATAAATTATCTCGACGAATGACACCATGTTCTAGTACGGAAGCTAGCTTTATATTTTTGTTGGTGGTTTCATGGGTTTCATATCAATTTTTTGTAATTGTAGTTTACACGTACATATACCTCTTAACACTTGTTTGCTTTATTAAAAAAGTGTGTTGTTGTGATTAACGTCGAAATAAGTCAAAAACAACTTGAAACCCCATATAAAATCAAAAAGGAGAAACGGAAAAAAATTGAGCCTGTAAATGAACACAACTCAGAAACAAAAATAGCTATCTAATAATAAAAAAATAAAATTTGATTCTTGTGCAGCTTCATCTATATCATTAACTGTTTTTGGTTTTTAAATGGTTTTTCTTGGTGATGAAAATTCCGATATCTCACGGTTATCGATTCTTTTTCTCTCTCCAGAAATGCGGACGACAGTGTTTTTAGATACTCCTGTGGCTGCAGCAACACGATCATTTACATTTTTAAATGGTATTGAAGGTGAATTAAAGTTTCCTTCTCTTCTCATAAACTCTATAACATTGGCTATTATTTCGCGAGATTGACTGTTAATCACGCGGCCTCTTAATTTGCTATTAAACTCCATACTTAGGTTCTATTAAACTGTAATGAGCAAAAAACACAAACGAAAATAAAAGAAATGTTTTAGCGAAATTTACATCTGACATTTACGTCTGAATGAAATAGTGAAATACTTGATGCGCAGAGTGTACTTTCATTGCGTAAATCCGTCGGGATGCCTGTCAGTAGTGCTTTCTCTGTCTAGC